GGCCTCTTTGCTTCCAGGATTCACGCCCACATTTTCCTGTTGTGCGTCCATCCCTAAAGTCTCTTCTCTGGCACCTCCCGCCTGTACCCCTGCAGTTTTCTGCTTGTCATTTCATTTCATGTCAGCAACACAGAACTTGGAGCACAATTAGCAGAAAGTCACACAAAACTTGCAATTCTTGCTCTTCCAGGTTTTACCAGGAGCTTTTGGGTACCTTATGTTGTTTCTTGTATTTTGTCTGGACCTTTTCATTATCTGTGGGAGGGTTTGAACAAACACTTCATTCCATCTCCCTTACTGAAAATTTCTTCTAAACCAGTTAAAAATAATTTACAAGTAAATTTACTTTTTGGATTTTAAAAGTAACACCTTAGGCACAGTGGTACATCCCATTAATCTTAGCACTGAGAGAGGCTGAGTTAGGAAGATGGCAGACCTGAGTCCTGCCAGGCATGGTGATGCATGCCTGTGATTCCAGCACTGGGGAGGCTAACACAGGAGGATCACTGTAAGTTCAAGGCCAACTTGGGCTACATAGTGAGACCCTGTCTCAAAAAAAAATCTGAGCTGTATTTTAGGATTGTAATGATACTACCTCAAAATAAAAAATTAAAATTAAAAAAGGGCTGGGGATGTAGCTTAGTGGTATAGTACTCCTGGGTTTGATCCCCAGTACTGCAAGAAAAAAACCTTTAATTTTATTATTACTACTAATTGATGTTTTTGTTTTTGTTCGGTATGAGGAACTGAACTCAGAACCTCATGCTTGCCAGGCAAGTGCTATACCATTGAGTTGTATCCCAGTCCCCCCCCCCCCACCTTTTTGGTGTTATTATTTTTTGAGACATGGTCTCTCTAGGTAGTTCAGGCTGGCCTTGAACTTACTATATAGCCCAGTGAACTCTTGGGGATCCTCCTGCCTCAGCTTCTCAAATCCTGGATTATAGATATGTGTCACAATACCCAGCTACTATTATCCTGGGTGTGCGTGTGCATGTGAGAGAGAGAGAGAGAGAGAAAGAGAAAGAGACAGAGAGAGACAAACAGAGACAGAGACAGACAGAGACACAGACAGACAGACAGACAGACAGGGTCTCACTATTCAGTTCAGGCTGATCTCCAACTCAGGACCCTCTTGACTCAGCCTCCTGAGTGCTGGGATTATAGGTGGGTACAATAGAGAGGCTCAGAAAAAAGAATCCTGAGAGGCGGAGGCCAGTCTGGACTACACAGTGAGGTCATCTCAAAACAACCAAAAAGAAAAACCAACAAAAAACACCAAAATCCCCAAGCATGATACTATATATAAAACATTTTAAAACAATAGGGTTGGAGATGGACCTCAGTGGTAGAGCAGATGCATGCACAACACCCTGGGTTCAATCCCCAATACTGCCAAAACCAAGAAGGAAGGAAGGAAGGAAGGAAGGAAGGAAGGAAAATGTCAACAGCAAAGTCTGACCTGTAGAAATTTATTAGGTCAAACATTTCAAATGCTACATATAATAAGGTCATGCCATAAAAGCACTGGGACCCCCTGCCCCCAATCAAATGGAAAACAAACCACACTCAAGAAAAAGAACAGCCCGGTTAAGAAGCAGAAATTCTATTCCTAGAAAGTCTTTTTCCTGCTGAGAAATCAGCAGAATTCAAGTCAGTTCTACAGTTAATTGGAAGGGGTGGGAAAGTAGAACTCTTTGTTTCAGCTCTAAGTATGGGCACTACCGTTACCATGACTTTATTAGCGTAGTAAAAGTCACAGTCCCAGGTGGAGACCCAAGAGGACACGCTTGTCACAAGAAGAAGCAGTACGAGAAAGAGTGCACATGTAGACATACATGGGCTCTGCCTTTATGTGTGACGACGACACTTTCTGCCCTGCTAGAGTTAGGTTGATGTTCCTGTCCCCCATGTGCTGTTCCCTTGCATTCAGACATCAAAAATGGAATGGTCTTGTTCCTGTATGTTACGCCTCTGTCTAGTTCTTCTGATGCAGGACACAAGAACCCATAGAGCTGATGACATTCCTTTTCGACTACATGTGTGCTGTATGCTTGATACTGGCCCACCAATTTCTAAGGCTCTGTTCATTTTCCTTTTCCTTTTTCTTTTTTGGTTCAATTTTTTTATTCTGATACTTTTCTATTGTTCTATATTTTAAGTTCACTGATTCTGCAAATTTGCTGTTGAATCCCTATGGTGAATTTTTAGTTTTCATTATTGCATCTGGTTCTTTTTTTCGTTTTCTATGCTTCATTGAGATTTATTTATTGTCAGTTGTTTTTCTTTTTTTTAATTATTAGTACACATTTGAATTCATGCAGTTTACAGTCATCTTGGGGAGTGGTTACATGTACATATTACAGCTTGTTGTCACCATATTTTTGAAAAAAATTATTAGTTTCCCTTATTCTTTGAACATGTTTAAAATGGCTGTTTTAAAGCTTTTCTTTGCCAAGTTCAGCACCAAGGTTCACTTACTTAGTTTCTACTATTTTCCTCTGAATATGAATCATTGTTTCTTGTTCCATAATTTTTTGTTAAAAATAGGATATCTTAGAAAATACTAGGTTGCTTTAGTGACTTTGGATTGTAATTTCCCACACAGATTGTGGTTTTTTTGTTTGTTTTTTGGTAAATTGGCCAGATCAGATCTAAAAGCCTACTGCCAGGCAAGTGTGAGGCCCTGAGTTCGATTCCCAACATCAAAAAGAAAGAAAGAAAAGTGGGATGTCAACCAGACCTCTTAAAAGTCTGTTCTCTCCTAGTATATGGCCACTTGATGTCACTACAAAGTTTCTTTATCTTCCTTTCAAAATCTTGTTTCTATGCCTCACTCACTCAGGTTGTTCCCGTGTCTACACAACCAATGTCTGTTTACACGTCCAGGCTTTCAACCTAAGTTTATGGAGCTGTGCAGGAAATAAGGTCTGTCAAGTTCAGGCAGTTTTCAGGTCTCCCAACTTTTACTTTCTGACGAAGCCCTTCTGCTTCTCTTCCCCACCCACAGGCAGCTTCTCAGCAACCAGGGACACATGACAGAACTCTCCAATATAATTTGTATGTATGCACAGGCTTTTAGGTCAGCCAGAGGTAAGCAGGCAGCTTTTCAAATTCTTCTATTGCTGGCTCGTTTCCAGAGATTCTGCTTTTGCCTAGTCTGCCAATCTAGCTTGACCTACTTGGGATTGCGCTCTCAGGCTACCAGAACAGCTAGCCTTCCTTTTTGACCCACCACTGAGATCATTACCTTTACTACAATACCTGGTCAGAGTGCTTCACTTTCTGTTCCAAGTCCAGTGAGCTCACTAGAGCAGCCAAGCCACTAGTGTTCATGGCCTGGCCCACACCAATCGAGAAACAGGAAGGAGAAGCGGGAACTTCAGGCAAGAATTACAAAGCTTCCCACTGTTTCTCCCTGAAGTTCAGCAACTTTATTTATTTCTAGAACCATGAAATGGTTATTTTTGACAGCTGTGCCTTATATTACTGTTGATTTCTGAGGGTGGATTTGTTGACTTCCTCACTCTAACTGCTGTAGTCCTAATTTTAGCCTCCGCTACCTTTGAATCTCACTTTCAGCTTCAAGGATATCACACACGATGACACTGTAAGTCATCATATGACACTAAGTCAACTGTGAGATCTGAAACAAAAATTAACACTTTTCACATTCAAAAGCTATTGTAACATATAGTTCCAGGTTTTCAGAAAGTAAAACATAACTTTTTAAAGATGATTATACAAATTTACCTGGTCTAAAAATAATAACAATTTGTTTCCTTCAAATCTTGGAGCAGGTTTCACTATGATTCATCCCCCCACCCCCCACCCCGCTCCGCCCCCCGGTCTCTACTGGAGACCGAACTCAGGGCCTCCTCCAGTCTGCTAGACAAACAGGCTGCCACTGAGCTGTGGGTTCAGTCCTATCTTTCTATCTCCCTGCCTTCCTGCCTACTTACCTACTTTGTGCCAGAGTCTTGCCAAATTGCCCAGTCTAGCCTCCTTCTTCAGCCTTTAGAGCCAACTAAGATTACAGGTTGCATATTATATTCAGGTTGCACATTGTATTCAGTTCACTGTTTTTGTTTTGTTTTGTTTTTTGAGACAATGGTCTCACTGTGCAGTTCAGGCTGGCCTTGCACTCACTTTGTACGCCAGGCTGGCCTCAACACTCCTCCTGCCTCCCTCCTGAGTGCTGGGATTAAAGGTGTGCACTACCACACCTGACTACCTCAACAAACAAAAAAGAACTGCTTGGCTATTTTTTCTTTTTCTTTAAGTCATAGATTTTCTCTATTGGCTCACATCTGAAGTCACTCCTAAGCTACTGAAAGCTGGCTCCCCAAGAAAGCTGTCCTGATAGACTTCTATATTTATTGGTACAAATATCAAACCTGAGATTCATTTTTCCCTACTATAAAAAACTATGTGCTCTCTCTGAACATGACACATAGTTTCTTTTTGTTATAGAAACTGCTCAGATGGATGTGGTGGTACCTGTAATCCCACTGCTTGGGAAACTGAGGCATGAGGTTACCATGAATTCAAGGCCAGCCTGGGCTACCTAGTGAGACCCTGACTCAACAAACAAACAAACCCATACTACTGTATCTTAATCTATTAAAAAAAAAAAGTGCAAAATACCACCCAACTGCCTCTTGTCATTCAGCAAACAAATGCTATTTTAATCTTCTCATTTTTTGATAAGGACCTAACCCAAGAAAAAATTTAAATATGTTCTCAATAAAAAGCAAAGTTCAAGAATTTCTCACTCTTAGCTCTATAGTTATAAGCATCAATAACAAAGCTAAAAGCATCAATACTGCTGGCATTCATTGCACATAACCAACCCTAAATTAATTGCAGTATTACTTAAGGAACTTTTTTATTTTTTTGTCTTTTTCCTTTTTATCAGTACCAGGAATCAAACTCACGACTGCCTGCTTGCAAGGCAGGCGCTTATGCCGCTGAGCTAAATCCCCAGCCCCTTAAGGAACTTTTCTTTCATTATTAGTGCTTAATCCCAAGGCCTAGCACATGTCTACAACTGAGATACATCTCCAATCTCCAGCACTGTAATTTTGAGACAGGGTCTGGCTAAGTGTTGAGATTGAATTTGTAATCCTATTGCCTCAGCCTCAGAGTAGCAGTGGTCAGAAGCAGGGGTCACTGTGTCTGGCTTCCTAAAATGTTTTTTTTTTTTTTTTTTTTCCTGATCACAAAGGTCTTCAGTAGCTTCTCAAAATATTATACATCAAGTTAGAGCAAAAATCATGGCAAGCTGCATTTCCCTACCCAATTCTTCCCTTGGTGATCCATTAAGATACGCACGTGTTGGGGCTGGGGATTTAGCTCAGCGGCATAAGCGCCTGCCTTGAAAGCAGGCAGTCGTGAGTTCGATCCCCGGTACCAATAAAAAAGAAAGAAAGAAAAAAAAAGATTAAGATACGCACGTGCAAAACGGAAGAGTAAGAACTGAACTAAGGACTCAGAAACAAACAGATCCAACCTGGTTAAGCAAGCTCAGGGCACTGGCTGCAAAGTAACTAACTAAATACATCACACATCTTCTCTCTCAGTGTTAACTCCACAAGACTTCCTGGCACAAATAAGACCAACACCACCATAGCTTCAGTAGTGCTCTATTGGATACGGATGCTTCCCACCATAGGAAGGTGAAAATGCCAAAGAACATGTCTCTTCCAGACTGAAAGAAGTTTTAAATAACCCAGTCTGTTGTAGGCATCAGTCCATTACAAGCAACGTTGACTGATAAGGTGGGATTGATTACAAGAAGGTAATCCAATTGCAAGACTCCTGACAACACTATAATACTCTTTGGGAGGGAAATCATTCTTTTTGTTTGGTGGTTTCATTAATAGCAATACCTGATTGTAGCTTTAAAACGCTGCATCAGAGAAAAATAGCCTCTTTAACTATCCCTTCTGGATAGATTAATCTGACCTATCTGTAAATAATGGAAGTGCTATTCAAGCTAGATAGCTGGAGTCGATGCAGGCTAAACTTGAGCTTGTGACTCATTTCATTTCTCATTGATGACATGCCAGACACAAACATTAATGGATTTAGGTTTTCTCCAGTGAACGTAGGTAACATGTAAGGGGACAGAATGTAAATGCCCGGGACACGATCCCCTAGGGCTGCTCACAAGGAGACACACTGTAAAATGGCAATCTATCTGATGGGCCCTACTTTGTTTCCCAACAGTCATGTTCCCCTTTGATTTAAACTAACAACTCTGAATTAGTGGAAGCATCAGGTTTACACAGACAGTAATTACTGCCTTCCTTTTAAAAAATAAGAGGACGATTCTTAACAAAGGAACACATTACTCCAAGATAATAGGAAAATATTGTGCACACACACACAGCTAACCGTCATATTCACAGGTTTTGCATCCTTGGATTCCAACAACCATCATCAGAAATATTCAGAAAAGTTAAGTGTGGTAGCACGTGTCTATAATCCCTGCACTGTAGAAGGCTGAGGCAGGAGAACTGCAAGTTTGAACCTAGCCTGGGAAACTTAGCCAGATCCTGTCTAAAAAAATAACAAAAAAAAAAAAAAGAAAGAAAGAAAGAAAGAAAAGGGTCGGAGGAAGATGGTGGATCAGTAAGTAACAAGGTACAGAACCTCTCTGAGAGAAACAGCTCAGACACCAGAAGTTACCAGCAGAGAGAAGACCAGACAAAAGGAGAGGGATTCTCAGGACCCAGGAAGAAACTAGGAAAAAGGAAAAAAAAGAAAGAAAGAATGAACAAAAGAAAGGAAGGAAGGAAGGAAGGAAGGAAGGAAGGAAGAAAGAAAGAGAGAGAGAAAGAAAGAGAGAGAGAGAGAGGAAAGGAAAGGGAAAGGGAAAGGGAAAGGAAAGGAAAAGAAAAACATGGACAGGAGTCTGGAGCCAGATGCGCTCTCACCGGAGCCAGCCCAACACGCAGTCACAGTGTTGTCATTGGAGCCGGTCAGACTCACGGTCGCAGTACTCTCATCAGAGCCAGAGTGCCGCAGTTGCACTGAAGTCGGGGTTGGTGAGCCCAACAGAGAACAGAGGCGGTGTGGAGACCTGCACCAACCTGCAGTGAGTGCTCGGAATTTGCCCCCCACCCTGTGCGAGGGGGGTGACTGACCAGAGGACATATTGGTATTGGGAAGACCGGCCTGAATAAGGAATGGCAGTGACTTCAGTTGGCTGCTCCCTGCCCAGAGCAGATTGGTGGGATCTGATTGGGGTGGGTCATGCCCCCGGCCGGGATCCAATAGCCAGGGACCAAATTGTTCTCAAAGTTGTCCCTAACCAGTTCTGTCCATGTGGCATATACTAATGTGGTGAAGGGCCCCACTGGTTGACTGGCTCAGAGGGGAGGGGCCACCCTACACTGCCCCTGCTTGCACCTCAGTGACCAACAGCAAAGTGGAGACAGCAACAACCCCTAGCCAAAGTATGGAAGAAACAAGAAACATGACAAGACAAAGAAACAAGAAAAAGCCTCCAGCCAACCCAGGGAAGATGGGTCCAGGAAAGGTAAATACAGAAGAGATCGAGGGCAACAAACATTCAACATTGGACACAGCATCAGCTGACATAAAGAAATATCTTCATGACATCACAGACAAACTCAAAACTGAAATATTAATTGAAATAAAGCAAGATATAAGAAAATTAATAAAAGAAATGCTAAGCACTCTAAGAAAGACACAGATGGAAGATGGAGGAACACAAAAAAAGGAGAGAAACCTTCGATGAAGAATATTAAAAAAAAAAAACCCTAGAATACATGAAACAGATTCAAAGCGATTACCAGGAAGCCAGGTGTGGTGGCTCATGCCTATAATCCCAGTATTTGGGAGGCTGAGGCAGGAGGATTGTTGCGAGTTCAAGACCAGCCTAGGCTACAAAGTGAGCTCAAGGCCAGCCTGAACTGCATAGAGACTCTGTCTCAAAAAGACAACAACAACCACAACAATAACAACAAAAGATTACCAGGAAATTAAAAACTCCATTGAAAGCTGGCAAAATTGCCTGAAAGAAACTAGAGAAAGATTAACAAAACTTGATGGGTTTGCAATGTGTGAATGTGAAAGGAAAGATCTCTTAAAAATAACAAGAAAACAGGCAGTAACAATACAAAGGCTAGAGGATGACAAGAGGATCTATAACTTAAGAATAAAAAATGTGAGTGAAGAAGCAGGGGTAAACACAAAGGAAACAGAAAGGCTATTCACAGAAATAATTAAGGAAAAGTACTCAAGCATAGGAAAAGCAGATGATATTCAGAATGAGGCATACAGAACTCCAGCCACTTACAACCAAAACAGAGCTACACCCAGACATATAATAATCAAGATCCCAGAAATTCATCACAAGAATATTAAAAGCCATCAGAGAAAAGAAATGGATCCCTATAAAGGAAAACCCATCAAAATCATGACAGACTTCTCTACACAAACCATCAAATCAAGAAGAGCTTGGAGCAAAGTATTCCAAGCCCTGAAAGAAAATAACCTCCAACCTAGATTGATGTACCCTGAAAAACTCTCTCTCAAAATTAATGCAGAAACAAGATGCTTCTATGACAAAGAGGAATGAGTGGAGTTCATAACCACCAATTCAACCCTACAAAAACTACTGAAGGACATTCTAGAAAGGGAAAAAAAAAGCATCAGGATCTGAATGGGGCAGACAGTGGAATGAAGGTGAAAAGTAGACAACCAATGGCAGAAAAACAGCGTAGCAGAAATGAGGCAGAGAAGGTTGGCTATAATCTCTAACATACATGTCTTCATGCACTAACAAAAAGAAACACAGGTAGAGTAGATGAGGAGATAGGGCCCATTGAGATGCTCTTTATAGGAAATATAATTAACCTGAAAGAGGGTTTATGGACTGAAAGTCAAATATGAGACAATAATGCTCTGTGTGACAGGGAACCAGAGAGAAATAGGGGCAGCTCATCCAGCACCTGCAGATAGGGTGGAAAGACATGACACTTTTGTGCAGTGGAGAACTACTCAGCTATAATGAAGGAAAACCTTGAGGCTTTTGTAGGTAAAGGAATACAACTTAATGTCAAGCCCAGGGGTAAAAAGGTTTAGAACCACTTAGGTAAATGGTGGGTTGCACCCCTAACCTAAAAACTAAAGAGTTGGTGGGACCCAAAATATACAATGCACCTTGTGAAAGTGAAAGGGGAAGAATTGTCTAAAAAAGGCAGGCAGATGACACTGTTAATAGTGTATCAGGATTTAAAATCCACATTGTTGTTATCGCTCTGTTTAGTTTGGTTATACTCTTTTATTGGTACCAGGGATCGAACTCACGACTGCCTCTTGCAAAGCAGGCGCTTATGCTGCTGAGCTAAATCCCCAGCCCCTAGTTTGGTTATATTCTTTTTGTTTTTTTTTTTTTTTTGGTCTTTTTCATTTTTATCTGTACCGGGGATCGAACTCACGACCACCTGCTTGCAAGGCAGGTGCTTATGCCGCTGAGCTAAACCTCCAGCCCCTTGGTTATATTCTTTTCCAGTCTGTCTACTTGTACTAGACTTGAGGGCACAGACAGCTGTTCCAAAAACAGTTAGTTTTATTGTGATAACCATCCTGAATTTCCTATTAACTTAATCTGAAGCCCTGTATTATTTACACTATCTTATTATGACTGATCTTATTTGAATCTGGTTTATTAGATCGCTGTTTTGTCTTGAATGATTTTATTTGAATCTGTTATGATTGCTAGTATTGTCTGAGAGTATAGGTAAATACTCTGAAGACAAGATTCACCAGGATACCCACTCTGACTTGACTATTACCTGCTTTCCAACTCTTATAATGTCTCCAATGTTGTTTTTATTAATACTGTTATATAATATGTTCAATTATACTATGCCTGATGATATAGACAATCTATTGAAGATAACAAAAGGCATCATAGTAACTCTTGTAGATCACCTTGTATTGTGATTTTATGACTTTTTCGTTTAGTGTTTTTCTTTTCTTTCTTTCTTTTTTTTTTTTTTGTCTTTTTCCTTTTTATCGGTACCGGGGATCGAACTCACGACTGCCTGCTTGCAAGGCAGGCACTTATGCTGCTGAGCTAAATCTCCAGCCCCCCGTTTAGTGTTTTTCTAGGAATTGTTTTGTTTTGCCTTGTTTTGCTTTTCCCTCTAATATAGAAAAGATAAACATACATGTAGAGACTCATGCATGCACTGAACTTCTAAATAATTTGAGAACTGATTATATAATGCACAATGAAATGAACAACTACTTTGAAGAAAAAGAGACACTAAGCTACCCAGTGCTGATTCCGTAGCATCATGATGTGAAATCCAGTGATACTATTATTCTTTGTTCAGAGTAATTTTAGTCTGTTTTGTTTTGATTAATTTCAACATACGTGAAGGTATGGACAGCTATTTTGAAGAGAATGAGAGACACTATGACAGCCATTGTTGACTTCCTTATTGTCTGGTCTTGAAGACCTAAATGCCTTCATCATTCTGTTCCGATCAGTTTTATACTATGTTGTTTTGTATGAATTCACTATATGTGAAGATAAAGAGAACTAACTGGAAGAAAACAGGAGATATTATGATGGATAGTGAAGATCTCTGGTTGTCTGGTTTTGAAATCTGTATCTCTTACATTGTTTTCTTATGTTCTGTTTTGTTGTGTTTAATTTTACCCTCTTTAAAATAAAATTTAAGAAAAAGAAAAACAATGACACGGGGATGTAGCTCAGTGGGAAGAATCTCGGTTCAATCCTCAGTACCACCAACATAGATATAAATAAAACAAAGTTGGGAATAAAATGGTTTCTGTAACTAAACGTGTATAGCTCCTTTTTCCTTGTCATTCTCCAAAAAATAAAGCAGTTTACTATATTTAATCTTTACATAGCATTTACATGGTATTAGGTATCATAAGTCATCTACAGCCAGGTTATACGCCAATATTATGCTGTTTCATATGAGGTGTTGGAACATGCATGGATTTGGTATCTGAGTGTGGTCCTGGAAATATTATCATCCAGGGATAATGAGGGATCACCCTGTGTGTGTGTGTGTGTGTGTGTGTGTGTGGTCTGTTTAGTGTTAATATAAATACATAAAAATATGGCATTGAATATTGAATAATGTGAATAAACACAATAAAATATATAACATACATAAGATATAAAAGTGAATATACTCTTTGTAGGACTATAACGTAAGAATCTGGAAACAATCCAAAGTTCATAAATAAGTAGCTAAATCATAGTATATTCATTTAATAAGACATTATGAAGCTGCTGAAAGAAAATTCAGTTTTTTACGTGGACATGTAGAAGACTAATTGTTGAATAAAAAAAAGTTGAAGTGCAGAACAACATCCATAGATTGTTAACATTATTTTTAAACAGTGACATTGAGATAATTATACAATCTTTATATTTTCTGATATACGCATAAAAATAACTGGAAAGAGGGCTGGGGATTTAGCTCAATGGCATATGTGCTTGCCTGGCAAGCACGAGGTTATGAGTTCCATGCTCAGTACAAAAAACCTCCCCAAAACTGAAAAGATACACAAGACACTAATTAAGTACTGTAGTGATATGGGGGGGGGGGACAAAACGGAGAAGTGAGTTGACAGGGAATTAAGACGAAGATATTAATCACTGGGGATCTTGATATCTTTATTTGGGCCATGGAGATTTACTGTCTATTCAGCCATGTACAGTAGCTGCAGAGCATGGCAGCTCCCCAGCCTAGGAACCCTCTGGTCAGTAGGCTGGCTCCTTCCCTCTGTGCTGATGTGCACCCAAGAACTTCTGCAAACCCTCCTTATCAAAACTCTCAATCTTTAGGAAAAAGTTCTCTTTTCCTTTTTTATGGGACTGGGGATCAAAGGTATGGGAGCTCTACCACTGAGCTACAACCACAGCCCTTCCTGATTACTGCTATAAGGCACAGTAACAGGGCTGGGATTAGAATGAGGTGAGCTGGTCTGTGCACAAACTCAAGAGTCAGTGCCTTCTTGTAAGCTGTATCCAGAGCTTCTGCTGGACTTGCCCTGGTCTTAGTCCAGAAAGATTTAGGGTGGTCCATGGCCTGGCGGAATCAGCATGGCCTAGGGACTCATTAGAAATACAGAATCTTGTCCAACACCAGTCCTACTGAATCAAATCCTGCACTGCAGTAAGATTTTCAGGTTATTCCTTTCTCATTAATGTGAATGCGACATTTCTAAAACAGGACAGATGGAGCGATGGCTCCCTACTGGAGCCCAAAGAAGAGTCCCATAATGGCCAATGTTTGGTCACTCTTCATCAGTGCATAGATAAGGTCTTAATGGACGCCAATAACCTATGATAGCTCAAATGAGAAGGCTAGAAGACGACACAGGTCACCTTGACAGACTAGACAGTACACTGAACAGTTTTACATTTAGGTCAAAACTTTCAAAATCAAAGTTATAAAATGGGCCAGGCACGGTGATGCACACCTGTAATCCCAGCTTGGGAAGCTAAGGGATGAGGATCACTGCAAGTTCAAGACCAGCTTGGGGTACACAGTGAGTTCAAGGCCAACCTGCACTACAAAGTAAGACCCTGTCTCAAAAAAGCAAACAAATGAAAAAAAAAAACCCCCACAAAGATGCGTAATGGTTTCCTTGACAGCAAAATATATGAAAAATCCTGGGGATAGATTCAAGTATGTTATGGTTACAGGCTTTGGAGTGTAAAACTAAATTTGGGCATAAACATCATGGGTCTTACCTTTATTCTTTAGATTTTTTTTTTTTTTTGATGGTTCTGAGAATTAAACCCAGGGCCTCAGGCATGCTAGGCAAGTGGTCTGACCTACTTGGGGGAGGGGATGTACCAGGGATTGAACTCATGACCTCGCACTTACCAGGTAGGTGTTTGTGCCTCTGCACAAAATCTCTGGCCCTAATTTTTAGAGTGTTTCTATTAATAATTATTAATTTTAATTTTATGAGTTTTGTTATATTTAACAATGAGTTCTTAACAGGAAAACAATCACAAAAAGTATTGAGTTTTTAATATTTATTATTAAAAATAAGCATAAAAATCTTCAACATCAACTGGTTTTTGGTGTACAGTCTAAAAAAGAACATCAAAGATAAAATACCACTATAAACTACAATGAAAATATCAACAGCATGCTATGAAGAAAAAAAATCTTTACTGCAATTATCACAGTCTGCACAATGACAACAGCATGTTCATATATTTACACTGACTGCACATCTTCTGTTTTCCTGGCCTTTTTGTAGGATATACTTGACATCATAGTGGTCTTGCTATTTTATCAGGAGATTCTTATTATATTATACAACTTGAAGCTAACAGGAATATAAAATATTAATAAATAATTAAATTCTTACTATGTATTGTGCTATTATTTATTTATTTGTACCGGGGACAAACTTACAACCTTGTGCTAATCCCCGGCCCTATTTATTTATTTTTTGGTACCAGGAATTGAACTCAACACCCTGTGTTTGCCAAGCAGGTGCTTAAGCTGCTGAGTTATACTCTCGGCTCCTGTATTGTGCTTTTAGAATAGACATCAACATTTCATATCAGCTGTGTACATCCTTACAAAACCTAAAAGATAACATCAGAAATAAATTCCTATATGAACTACAATGAAAACAGCAATAGAACTCTACTATAAAAACAAGCTTTGCTTCAACTGTCACACCACAGGCAGTCTTCACACATAACAACTGCATGTTCCATGCACATGTCTTGCTTACACGGCCAGCACGTGTGCTGAGCTTTCCTTTCCTATGTGGCGGTCTTGTCACCTCTCTTCCTGTTTCATTAGGAGCTTCCTACTATACTGTACAACAAGCACTTAGTAGGGAAATAAGATTTCAATACAATACAATTATTAAATATGTAATGAGCACTTTGAATAGACATCAACATTTTCACATTAGCTGTTACCTGCTTACAAAACCTAGAAGATAACATCAAAAATAAAAACTACAGTGAGCTACAGTGTAAACACAAACTAAAGTCTACCACAGAAATAAGCTTTGTTTCAACTGTCACACCCAAAGTAAGTCTTCAACACGACAAATGTAAGTTCTGTACAGAAGTATCACACCGGTATGTGTTATGTTTCCCAGTACTTATAGGGCACAGCTGGGATCTTTATTGCTTTCCTGCTGTTGTAGTAGATGGAGATGCTGTGTCTGCTTGTTCACCTGTCAGCTCACCAGTGTGCTCCACAATTTTTTTGTGTAGTTCTCTGGGCAGAAACATTTTGTTTCTCAACTGCTGTAAATGATCTCTTATGAGCTCCAGGCCCAATCCTCTAAGAAATTTCTACATGGCATTTTGCATGTGTTATTTTCTTTGTAAACTATCAAATTATTTATGTCACACATGTTTAGGACTGAGAAAAACACAACCATTGGCTAATGCTTTGTGTTTCAAGTAACATCATAGTTGTTGCATAACTTATCAACATCTACTCCACATTTGGTTTTGTTGTTGAAAGTTTCCATCTCAGCCTTCTGTTTTGTCAAAGTTTCCTTATGAATATTCCCGTCATGGTGATATGTTGACATTATCAGTTCCAGTTTGCTTTTCTTTGTCATATGTGAGGCCAATGTTACATCTTTCTGAAATTCGAATGTGATTCTGTTTTTTTGGTGGTACCAGGGATCGAACTCATGACCTCACGCTTGCCAGGCAGGCGCTTATGCCACTGAGCTAAATCCCCAGTTCCAAAATATGATTCTGTTTTGAAATTGCAACATTTCATTTGGAATTTCTGCTTTGTTCTTGTGCTGGTCAACTTGTGCTCTGTCAGCAAATGTAACATCCACTGGGAACTAGTAAGCCAACTGTCAAATGTCACATTCCAAATAGTTTGAGAGATACGAGGAACAAGTCTGTTCACAATATCAGTTTATTACTATATGAAGAAGGACCTGGTGGCTGAGTTCCAAGATAAATGTCTAAATTGAAAGCATAATAACTCTTCACATCTACAAAGGCATAAATTTTGATGCCATATTTTGACCCATTGTTTTTTTTTTTTTTTTTTTTTTTTTTTTGATACCAGGAATCAAACTGACGCCCTCATGCTTGCCAGGCAGGCACTTATGCTGCTGAGCTAAATCCCCGGCCCTTGACCCATTGCTTGTCTGTAAGTCTTTTACATTCCTGTGATGACTGTAAGAAATCTGTGCTAATTACAACAGATCTGTGAATGCTCTCAGTTCAGCTAGTGAGGTATCATAATAAAAGCATTTTTAAATATAGCTACTGGTGCATACAAAATGTTTTACTTGCATTTCAGCCTTTATGCATTTCATAGCACCTTGGAATATTTCCTCTGTAACAATTTCCAACACTGAATGGCAGTGCTGGCAATCTTTCCAAAATACTTTATCCCTGCCAAGACCTTCTCTATTTTCCAATCTACTTCTAACACTGGGTTATTGCATTTGGTCACACTGCATGGCCATTTTGCAACACTGACTAACCAAATATATAGTCACATTGCTGCTTTCTCCGCCACCTGAATAAAAGAGGTCTGCACTTCGTGTACCTGTTTCAGTTGATTCTTGCTCCACTTCACTGTCATAGGACTTTTGCCTCAGATGGCCAACATTAAAGTTGTCGTCATCGTCATCATCATCATCATCATCATCATCATCATCATCATCATCATCCACCACACCACTCTTCTGCTATAAAAGCATGCATTTTATCACAGTGGATCATATTCATCATCCATGCACGAGTAGTCTGATGATTCACTTTTGATCTCCTCCCAAACTTTCAAATCAGGCTTTTTATGTGCCATGGTATTGAACTGGGTTACTTCTACCAGAAAAATCAAAAGAAACTTTTTTTAAAAAAGCAAATCTTGGAGTGGTGTGAATTTACCTCCATGATGCTCAGGGAGACATATACAAAAACTATTTCATCGAGCAGAAAGATGGGTGTAAATTTCATTTTGCCACTCTTGAATTTGTGCACACTAAGTGGATAGATACATAGATTGCTTCCTGCATCCCTCAGGGAAAGACACTGAGGTGTACAGCTAGCTATCAAAATGCTAAAATACAAATTTACAGTAGAAAAGCAAGGGATAGATCTGCTGGACCCAGGCTTATGCCTTGAGGGTTAATTTTCTTTTCTTTTCTTTTTTTTTTTTGCCATAACACCTCTTGTTATCTTCAAAACAGCTGTCCATATCATCAGACATATTAAAATAAAACAAGAAAACCAATCAAAACAAAACAGTGAAAGTGATACAGGATTTCAAAACAAGATAACAGGAAATCAACAATGGCTACCATAATGTTGAAGGTTAATATAACAACATTTTGCATCAGCAAAATGAAATAAAGGTGTTGTAACAAATGAGTAGGTGACTCAAAAACAAAAAAGCAAGAAAAAACCTCTACCTCATATCTTATATCAAAATAAATTTTGGATGAATCAAAGATTTAAACACACAAAAACAAATTCACTAAACATGGTGGTGCATGCCTGTAGTCCCAGCACTTGAGAGATGATACAGGAAGATCACTGTGTTACGACCAGCTTGGCTACCTAGTGAGCTCATGGCCAGCCTGAACATATAGAGACCTGTCTCAAAAAACAAAACCCCAAAAAAACAAATCCATTTAACTTCTAGAAGATGAATATACTTTTAAAATAGCTTTAAAGAAGACAAGGCCTAAGTATGAATAAAATCCTGAGACCGTTTTTTTTTTTTTTTTTTTTTGGTCTTTCTCCTTTTTATCGGTACCAGGGATCGAACTCACGACTGCCTGTTTGCAAGGCAGGCGCTTATGCTGCTGAGCTAAATCCCCAGCCCCCGAGACCAATTTTTTTAAATAATAAATTTTACTATACCAAGAAAATATCTTGGGGGTGAAGGAAAGGAAGAAAGAGACAAGGAAAAAAGAGAAAAAAGGAAACAAAGTTTTGTAAGTAAGGAGGTGAAGAAGGGTTGAGGAAAAAGGAAAGGAATAAAGAAGAAGAAAATAAAGAAGATATTTCACATACAGGTACAAAATCTGTATAATGGATATTACCATTATGTATATCTAAAATTAAAATTACAAAAATTTAAATTTAAAAATGGAAAAAAATTCCTCACAAATAAATAATAATTTAAAAAGAAAACAATTCTGCATGATATATAACACTGTAAACAAAGCCTTAAGACAAATAACAAACTGGAGGGCAAATGTAACTCACATCCAAGACCTAGTAAAATATATATATATTTTGTTTGTTTGTTTGGTACTGAGGATTGAACTCACGACTTTCGCATGCTTGTGTTACTGAGCTAAATCCCTGGCCCCACTAGTGCTACTTTCAAAAGTCCCCAATGTCAGGAAGAAAAAGGCCCCACACATACCAAACTCAGCCCTTGGGAAGCCTAACAAGCATTGTCTTCGAAAGGCTGAAGGGCATTCTGCAACAGTGGAAAAGACAGTAGTTTGTTGTTACAAATGGTTGAATCAGAATTGATGGTAGAAACTCGAGTTAAATTTCAGCTGAACACATTGAACTAAGAACTAGGATAGTCCATAAATGGAATGGATCTCCTTAAAATTCTTACTCCATGCAAGCATTCAGGCCAGGCCCAGATGAAGGACCTGTAGGAAGGGAGATCTACACTACAGAGGAAACAACTACAAGATCACTGAGGTTGCTTCAAACTCTACATGCAATTCTAGCCCAGAGAGTGTATCAACTTTGGAAGAGTTAGGAAAATAAAACTGAGGAATTATAGGTTATGCTGTTCATCACTCTTAACCTTTTATTTTAGATACAGTGTCCTCTGCAGAAGAAAAAAGGAAGGTAGGAATGATTTACTGAATTGAGACTGTTATACTTTAGGAGCATTCTTGTTTCATTCACATTCCCTGCCTAAGCCCGTCAGCCACTAAAAGCAGAAGTGCACTTATTAAAGACCATGAGTCAGGGTCTGAGGATTAAAAAATGTATGAGATCTCAGTATGCTTCTTTGATGTAAGGCCGAGTGACCCATGAGAAACTTTCATGTTTATGTCACTTTCACTACCGTTCAAAATGAGTTAAAAAGCACAGAAAAATAACAATACAAGAATTCAACCTATAAACAGATGTGTTCCAGAAGCTAGAGTGTAAGGCAGTGTTTGAACCCAGACACAGAGAGAATACACTGGTCCCCTCCTGCCAGGGGGCACACTTTGCCAGTCATGGGCCAAGGAGCTCAGCATCAACATGTTTTCTGAAAAAAGACCCCTGAACTGTACTAGTCATTCAGAAAGTAAGATAAAACTTGAAGAATTTTATTTTATTTTATTTTATCTACTTTGTAATCAAAAGCTTAAGACAAAGCAACTCTAGCTAGAGAAGGCTGGGGAGATTTAACAATCATAATGATGCTGGAGAACGTCTTACAAATCTCAAAATGCTTTAGAGCAGGGATGGAGAACCTTTCAGAGCTTCCCATGACATAAACAGTGGCACACATGCCATAGGTTCACCGCCACTGCTCTAGGAGTTAGTAACACCGAGTCTTTAGTTTCTTTTTAAAATATGGTGCTTCCATTGGGTGTGGTGGCACATGCCTGCAATCCCTGCGCCCCAGAAGCTTAGGAATTGTCGTGAATTGGAGGCCAGCCTGAACTACAGTTCAAGACTAGTCTGAATAGACAGTGGGAACCCGTTTCACAAAGAACGAACAAACAGACTACTGCTTCCTCCCTCCCAGCTATGGACATGGCAATTGATACTGTTTAGCTCTGACTGGGGAGGTTTTAGATCAGAAGTATAATGAGAAGAATGACTGTGGAGACAAAGCAAGGAGATCTGAGGTAGGAGGAAGTAAGAAGCTACCTAGCAGGTAAGAGAGACTAAAGAGTGAGAAAAGGGGAGGGAAGTGAACCTCCAGGAAGGTGAAGACCAGAAGGCAGTAACACCTCGACACTGATTCCCATGGATGGTGCATCAGGGGGCACCACCCACCAGGGCGCCTCAGCTGGTACCAGGGTATGTGGAGAAGCATCCCACTGGACTTACCTCCATATTTACAAGGTAAATCCAAATTGGAAATATAAAACTAAACTATTATGTTTTTCCATCCAGGTTAACAGAAAAAAATATTTCCCAAATAAACCAACGCACAGACACAATTAGTTATCTGCTCTCTGTCCCTACATTTGTTCATCTACTTTAGTAATGATAAATACTGTGTCATCTGGCATCCAGAAATACCAAGAGCAGAGAATGAAGGCTGAATAAATCACATTGTGACATTTCTGCTGCTGAAACTCAGGCCCGTCGGGAGGGTCCTAGGCATCAGCACAGTGTGGCTGTGTTCCTCAAGCACAGGGATTTCAGGCTAAGGGGGAGAGAATCTTGGAGCAATGACAATCTGATATATATTTCAGGAATAAATTTTATTTTTTTTGTACCAGGAATCGAACTCACAACCTTGTGCATGCCATGCAGGTACTTGTGCCACTGAACTAAATCCTCGGTCCCAGGAATAAATATTTTTATGGATATGTTAAAAGTAATTTTTATATTTCTGAGAAAAAAGAATAAATGCAGGATATATATCCGATATCTGAAAAAGAAGCTAAGCATCTTGCTCAGTTTCACACTTCATCAAGGACAAGTATCCATCGCTCATTAGTCCAGTTTTTTCCATTAAACATTTGCATTTTTCCATTAAATATTTTTTTTTTGTCAGTACCATGGATCAAACTCATGACCGCCAGCTTGCAAGGCAGGTGCTTATGCTGCTGAGATAAATCCCCAGCCCTCAATTTTTCCACTAAACATTTTTTACAAATCATTAGATTTATGATTTTTTTTTAAAAGACAGCTTCATTTATAAGAGCCATTTCACAAAAAGCTCTATTGAATCTTGAGATTACAAAGGCAGAACATAGAAGCCAACCTGCTTCTTCCAAGGCTACTTTGTGTGTCACTCTGGTGCAGACTTGCTGAAAAAATTCTTTTCATGACATCTGACCTATGCTACCTTACAAACCATGAGCATTATGGGCAGCTCATTGACTTGACCCCTCAGGGCAAGCAAGATCTTGACCCCTCAGCATCAGGTGGCCGTAATGCCTCCAGTGGCTGCAAGTGAAGCCAAGGAGTGGGAGACAGGGAAGGCTAAGAGACATGGAACAGAAAGAGAAAGAAGAGCAGAAGAGCAGGAAGGGAGAAAAGCTGACTGAGGATACCACAGAGCATCTCTCACTGTCATTAAGTGACAAAAGCTGCTAGCTGCTTTCAACTGCCCGCTTAGGAGGTGCTTATTCACCTGTGCAGTTTCAGTAACAGTGACTTGAAAACTTACTTAACATAACCAAACCAGTAAAAAGAACTACTGTTAGAAATACTGCTGTTAGCACAGAAACCTGGTGTTCAGTTGGCCCCACATAGACAACGCTTCCAGAATCTAGGGAGATGCATCCTCATGCACCCAGAGTGTCAGCTGTTTGAGGGGTATCTTTCTTAGTTACCTCACGTATTCATCACAAAACATATGATATGTGTAGTTATCTCCATCCTGTAATCAAAAGATGCTCCCAGCATAGATAAGTAACTGTGTCTCAAGGTTTCAAAAGCAGCCGAGCCAGATTCAACATAAAACTCTTTTAAACGACAGCTGTCTTCTCACTGAAAACAAGCAGCAACTTCTCCATTCAGCAGCATATGGGTCACTCTGCTGCAGGGACATTGCCTCTGAAGTCCATTCATGTATTTAAAATATAGTCACTAGCTGCTGTCACCTGCTAGAGCAGTCACAACACTAACACAACCATGAATGAGGCAGACCCAATGCCCTACTCTCCGCA